GGGGGGGGGGGGGGGGGGCCTACGTGTGACGCTGATCGTCGGACCGGTCAGCGGTCATGCGATAAAAAAAATAGCGCATACGTCAAAGGCGCCGAAGTTTCCCAGCCGGGCTCCGACGCGTCGCTCCGAATACGTTCGATCGTTTCACGATCTCCGGCCTGAAATTCGTCCGACGACGACGGCACGTGGCCGCGGTTATCGCGAGCCGTCCGGGAGCTCCTGAAACGCGCGACTTTTTCCACCCCGTCACCGGTCCCGTCCTCTCTCGGCCGTGAGCGCTCTTCTCGCGCGCAAGGCAAGGGGCGAGGCACGCGATTCGAGCACGTTTCGCGCAGCGATGAGAGAGAGAAAAAGGGGAGGGGGGAAAGAAAAGAGAAGAAATGAAAAAGAACACACGTACCCTCCTTCCGCTTTGCGTCACGTACCCTTCGTTTTCGCGGGGGAATCCATTCTCGTCACGGTATACTCGTCCGTCTCGTCGGCCTCCTCGACGGTCTCCTGGCAATCGATACTGTCGGGCGTGCACACGCTCTCGCGTCGAAATAGGCCAATCACGGATTGGACCTTCGGCTGCTCGATCCCACCTGAAAGACGGGGGAGAAAGACGTGAAAACGGACAGGCCGGGGACGAAAGTCGTCAGCTGGTGTCACGCTGAGACGTGAATTTTTACGATCGCTTTCTTTCTTTCATTTCTTTTCTCTTCTCGTCTCTGCCGAGAGGCGAGACGACTCTGCAGTCACTCGCGACTTTACTTTAGCCGATCCTCCGAGAGTCAGCCCTGGTTTTTCTCTTTCTCCAGAAGTTGCCACGGGATTTCCATTCGTGAATTAATATTCGACGGTTAATCGACATTTTTCTCTCCTCTCTCGCTCGGTCTTACCTAAGAATGTGGCCGAGGGCGAGCTATAGGCGAGGTATTCCTTGTTGGAGCACCATGCTGGGAATTCATTCTGCTTGATAGGGTGACCCGACTCGTAATCGTCCTCGCGTTTCCACGGTAACATGGTCTCTGTGGCTGTGGGGGTGGTGACTCTGTAGCCTTCCGCGCCTAAGTCAAACGTCGCACACGTGCAAGAAACAAAATTCGGCGAAAAGAGTGGGGGAGGGATCGAGACCGCTGTGATCTCGGCGAGCGCGATTCTCGGCGCTGCGGATGCGAGGAAAATTACATATCTCAATATCGATCACTTTGTTGCCCCTTCGCCGTTCTCGCGAAACAAAACCGTGTGGGTATTGCTTTCGCGTGTTGCGCGCCACCGAGAAGGTCGAGCCCGCCGAAATCGCGGCAGCCTCCCGATTCGCGACGAGCAATCGAGAGGGATGAGAGGTTCGTGAAATGATAATGATCGATGATACGATATCTGAAGCATACAAATATATATTCAGGGCGTTTCGGAATTAATTAGGCGAATACTCAACTGGCCGATGGGACTGTCGCAAAAATCGCTGATAAAAAGTCGCTCTCATTTGCCGTTTATTCCAAGTAATCGTCACGTTAGTCCGGGTCCGCAATACGTGTAACAAGCCTTTAGCCTTTTGCTCTGAGCACCAAATTGTAACGTAATTTCTAGCAAAAAAGCGCTTCCAGCACTGCCAGACGTCGCAGTTCCTAAGATTTAAGCGTTATTGACACTTTCGGCCGCGCGTGAATCACACTTTCTGTCAGGAATTGCGTTGCATTTTATCGCTTAGAACAAAAAAGACTAAGAGCTCGCTACATCTAGCGTGGAAAGAACGGTGAATTCAACGTTTCTTATCTTTCCCTCTGGCTTACGATAGTCTATTTCGGTACCTCCTTTTTCTTCATGCTGCTGATTAAAATTTCACAAATTAACATCTCTTGTATAATAAATACTTAATTCAATATCGCTTAATTAAAACTGCGGGGATAAAGGGTATTTCTCAGCTTCTGATCTATCGCGACGTTCGACCGCAGCCGTTCGCCGAATTGACGATAAAAAAGAGCGGTCTCTCCAAGAGAGACGCGGGATCTCGCGCCAAGAAACTCGCCTTTCTTTCCGCATTTCCTCGATTCGTTCACGAGTTACGACCGTTTGGAGTTTCTACGCGCTCGGTATCTCAGTGGATGCCGGCTGCACCGTGTCTACTACCGTGCACGAACGGGGTCAACGACCTCGTGGTCCAACGGACGTGCTGGCAGAGGGTAGGGGCAAGGCCGCTTATGTAACGTAGTTATGTATTGAATTACGAGATCGGGTAGGAACTCGCACTCCGGGACTCAGCAGGTGGCCAGGCTTCCCTTCGGCAACGCCGAGCTGCTCGAGAACGCGATCTAATCGTTCGAGACGCCGGTATATCTTCGGTTCTAAAGGCCGCAGAGAGACCAAGATCACAAGCCGTTGGAAACCTGAGACTTCCGTGCTTTGTGACAGACGCGAAATCGCAATGATCGTTCTTCGAGAATGGAGATCAATTAATGCGGAATTGGAAAATATTCGTTCGAAATAGAGATCAGTTGACGTAGAGTCGGATGATATCGATCGTCTTCGGGTTGAAGCGGAAATTAGCTTAACAGCCATTCAACAATTACGTCACGCGACATTTGAATATTTTATACCCCTCCCTCCCTNTCCCTCCCTCCCCCCCCCATCCCTTCCGCTTTCACATTATTTTATCAGATTTCTTTAGATCCAGCACGAAAATCAGCACTGAAAGAAGGATTTAGTAGTAAATACTAAAATTTAATTAATATTTGCCGAGCAAATATTTGGTTTACTGCAACCAAATACAATAATTCAGTTCCGCATACTGTATGCGCAGTACTTCCGTATATTGTATATTTAGTATACAGAACTAAATTGTTCGGCAACAATCAAACGTCCGGTCGGCAAACATTCACCAAATTCTGATACTTATTACAGAATCCTTTTTTCAATGCGCCATGCGAATGACCCCTTACGATGACGGTCTAGGCGAGCTCCGTCAGCCAGTCGAGTCCTCGCTTGCAATTCCGGGACACCCCGCGCAAAAGAAAAGAACACCTCGCAGTAACACAAAGTCAAACGCTTGGGCTCTTTCCCTTTATCTTGAAACACGTACCGTCGCGTCCTATTTTCAAGTCTCCTTCGTCAGAATTAATCGTGTCCATCGACGTGGTAGTGGTGGTAGGATGTTGATTGTCGGCGTTTACATTGGGAGAATCTTTCGTTTGGAGATTTTAAAGTGCACATTAGACATGTCAGAGCTACAGGGAGGCTAATTATCTATCTAACTCGTGAGAGGCGCAATCGCGACAACGACGAGCGAGCGGCGAGTCTGGATACGCCGTGCGATCGATTCTTAATCAACCGCGTTTAATCACCGTCGTGTCGCAATCGAATCTTGCCGGTTAAAGGTTGACTCTCACTACCCGTCTAGACGACGGCAGACGAGCATCCGTCGATTCCGCGTCGAAACACTCTTCAGTGGTCTTGTATTATCAGGGTGACGGTGGAGGATATTGTGAATATTTCAATACAAAAAGCATCGGGGATGAACAAGAATGTTCTTGAATAGCGGAATGACGTCGAAAGACGTCATATTGACGTTAATATGACGTCCTTTGACGTCATTCTACTACTTGAACGGTTTCGACGGATTGGCAGACCATTATTCTCTATTGAAAGAACCAGGCGGGAATTCACACGGAACCCCATGCTTGTCTCTGGGGATTTTCGCCGAAAAAGTCGGTCCTAGATAATAAGCAACACTATTGTGTGATAACTATATAATATTTATATATATGTGTAACGCTACTTTTCTACTTGCATCCACTTAAGATATCTTAAACAAGGCAGTCGTATCAGGCATAATATCGTTTGCCTTGTTACCAAACTACCTTATCAGACCGTTCGGGGCCAATAAAGTTATATATATACTATTATTATAATTATGTGGATTCCTATGAATTTTCGTAGAAATCCATGTGGATGCCTACTTTCACAGGCTATATAGGTTTCTATATGGATTTTTAATATTCCGTATGAATTCACACGAATCCCCCTGGGAGCCCGGTTGAAAATTGTCTGCCGGGGGTCTGCCGCCCACGGACGGACGGTGAGGATCAACCTTTACTCTCCGTTCAATCGCGCTGGCAAAGTCGTGCGTTTCTCACCGGACGTTCGCGCGGTGAACGTGATCGCCGAGTCCCAGTCCTCCTTGCTGGAGGGCTTCGAGGTCTCCCCGTTCTCCAGCTCGTACAGCACGCCGTTGATGTAATCTGCGCACATTAATCCAGAAAAAAGATCAACGGAGGGAATCCCAGGGCGACTTCCGGTCGCGCGCTTCGCACGTACCTTGCCGGAGCAATTTCGTCGAGCCGTTCTGCTGCTGGAACTCCGGGAAGCTCACGTGGGTCGGCTTGCCGTCCTGTGTGCGCATTCGATCGAAATCGATTAGTGGCGGAAGGACGGATTACGAATTAAAGACGCGACAGACGATCGGCGACTCCGATCGATCCTTACTTTGAGCAGCTTCTTGCTGCGCTTGTGTCGATGCTTGTGTTCGCCCATCATCCGCCGGATGTTCATGTGCATCTTGTAATTGACCTGCGTCGAGAGATCGCGATCGTTCACCGCGTGCCGACTGTAGCTCAAGCGCCGGTGCTGTTTGCGTACGTGATCAACGTTTTTCATTACATTACCGTATAATCGCGCCGTCTATCGTACGGCGCGTGCCGTACGATAGATCACGCGGAGATCAGAGATCAGATCGCGCTGGATCTCTGAGAGGAGAGCCTAGACTACGACCGTAACTTTTTCTCCTACCCTTTTGTACGGTTTACAGAGCTCTTCGGCGAGCAGATGGTGGATCCGCGCGTCCGTCAGGTCTTTCTTGGAGGGATTGTACTCGAGTTCCTGCAGATCGATATTCCATCCCGCCTCGAGCTGGCTGCAGCTGGGGCTGAGGGAGGAAAATACCGTTTACGAACACCGGTTTGCGGATGTCGAGTGATTCGAATGCCGATTTGAACGCGCGTCCGCGTGTATCGCCGAGGACGATTAGAGGGTGCCGCTTCTCCGAATACCTTGCAATCTCGCAGTAAGCGTCATATTGCAGGCATCGAATACTTCTTTCAATGGCTGGCTTAATGTTCGCCGAATATACTATAGTTCCGAAGGCTCGGAGAAAGGCTCGCTTCTTCTCCGCGGATATTTGCCGTTTCTTTTCCCGAGGGTGGACAAATTCGTTTAGAGAACTCACGAGTGCGTCGGCTAAAATCCACCACATTCGTTTCTTTTCGCAAAGAAAATAATCGCACACACTCAACCGAAGCTAAATTCTGAACTAATTGAATTAACTTCAGTTAGGCGCTCGTAATTATCTTCTTTACGGAAAGAAGTAAACGTGGCGGGTGTCAACCGAGCACACACGTGAGTTTTTCCAAACGTGTTACTCCATCCCTGGGAAAGGGAGCGAAAAAATCCGCGGGGAAAATGGAAAAAATCCCGGATTTTCTTAAACTACGGTAAACATATCTATGGCTGCGTTTCGAAGTCGCAGCCGAAGGCGCAGAGTAGCACTTAATTGATCAATCAGAACAAGAAGAGCAAAGATTTCTGCGTCATGATTGGTTAATTAAATGTTACTCTACTCGTCGACGGTTTCGGAACGTAGTCTACATTTTCGAAAATTCACACTTCAAGGCTACTTTGCAAAAGGTTCTTTTCGAGAAGATTTTTCCTCGATGGCTTGCGAGCGATGTAAGAGGGACCAATCGTAAACGCCCGTTGAGTTTCGGAACAGCCACCGGGAGTGAACTTTTCCTCGAAGGGGAAACACGTTTTGGAATGCAGCCCGAAGCAGCTGCTTCACGCAATCGTTCATTTAGCTACGTCTAATTATCGCGAGCTAAGTGTCGTCGGGACGAGTCGCCATAGCAGGATATACGCGCTCACCTCGCGTTGAATTGTCCGTTCGTATTGCTGTAATTACGGAATATCGCCGACATGCTCTCGGTGCCGCTGATATTGCCGATCGTGGAGGCGTTTCTTCTTATGTAATCCAGGGCGTCCTTCATCGCCAGCTTCGAGTAGGTCTCCAGGATCTTCGGCTCGGCGCCGCAGTGGTCTCTCACGAGATAAGGCCGGATGAATTTGGTGTCGAATCGCTTGAATCTGCGGCAAAGCGGGTCGCGGAGATAGAGAAAGCGTCCCCGGGGCGCGTCTCATTTACGTCATTCTTTCTCCACGATGATAAGTAATAAGTCTCCAAGATGTATACGTGACTTTATTGCGACGCACGACTACGGTCGTGCTTCAAAATCGACTTCCGACTGCTTCTCATTTCGACATTTCGCTCGCGATGAAGACGTCTCTCGCAAATGAAGGATGCAAATCCGTCACGTGTCTCGTCCCGTCTCGTCTCGTTTATCTTCGCTTTCCGCGGTATTAATAGCTCCGGGGAGATTTCTATCGTTAATCATGAATACCGAATCGCGCGCACGAGCAAACAACAGGGTTATCGCTGAAACATCTTACTTATCCCGCACGTGGTAGTTGCCGTGCTTCCCCAAAATGTCCTCGATACCCGCCATCGTGTGATCCATTATCTGGGAAATCAGGAGAGCGTTATTTGTCTTTTCAGTTCGCCGGGCGGTAGTTCGCGGGTGTGCGCGATCCGCACGAGAATTTGCTACCGTATCGCGCTCGCGTGAGCAAACACAGGCAGTACGCCGTGTCGAAAAGCCTCGGGCAAAAATTGCCGAGCGGATGGCGCGCGCTCCGTAATGCCGCTTGACAGTGACGAACGACGGCGGCGACGCGCGCGCGTCGTCTCCCGATTCGCTCGATATTCCTCGCGTCGATTAATGCCGCGTCGCGACGTTCGATTGCGCGCCGAGGAAAAAGGGGGAATAAAAAGGAAAGAGAGAAAAAGAGGAGGGCACAACGCGCGCCGAGAAACCGGGATTCGGAGTAATTGCTCTCTACATTTCCCCGACCGGTGAAATTCCCGGCCGAAAAGCGACAGTCGGAGTCGCCTTTCTCTCGGAGCCGAGTAACTTTTCCAACTCCTCCGCTCTGAACCGCGCCGGAATGAATGCGTTCACTCGAAATCGGAAAGCGAGTCTGATGTATATATTCCACCGGCACGGATTCGCTCTAATCGACTGAAACGTTGTATCGATCAAGAATTCATTCTACGATTTGATCGAGCGAAACATTCACCCCCGTGACTCCGGGCGGCGGTACTTTTACCGTCACTTGGAGAGTGAATCGGATCTTTCGAGTGATCTTTTCCAGGGAACTTTCACTCCGGGAGATTTGTCGCGAGCGTGATTCATTGTTCAACAAGGTTTTCATCAATCTTGTCGAATTATCCGCGTCTAATTTACAACGGCGACTCGAAGAGACGGATCGTCTCCCTTTCTTTCTCTCTCTCTCTCTCTCTTTGACGCGATGGTCGCGATTTTCCCGAGGTAGAGTTCAAGACGACACGTACCCTCTCGTGAATCCTCTCGTTCATCGTCGGCTTCCTCTTCTCAGCCCGCTTGACGTTGAGGATCCTCACGAGGGGTTTGATCGTGATCCCCTGGAAAGAAGAGCGCATTACATATCGCCGTCATCGGGAAGGCAGGCGTTCGCATCTGGTCCATCCGTGCGGATTATCTGGCCGGCGCCAGAGAAGAGTCGCCCGCGGCTGATAAACGCTTCTGCCGGCGCAAAGCTGTATATGCTCAAGTATGTGTGCGACATCGATATTAACTTTCCGATCGACCGCGCAGCAAAGACATACACGTGCGAGAAGCGGCGGTTTTTTTTTTTGCAATCAATGTCTTCACCGAACACATACACACTCTCTCTCTTTCTCTCTCACTCTCTCTTATTAATCGGCGATCAAACGGATTTAACGGTGAGACTACAACACTTTTTTCCTCTTCTCTCTCCTCTCTCTCTCTCTCTCCCCGCGATAGGAAAATCCCGTCGAGAGAGATACTCGGCGAAACGCGCACGTGCCGCGTACGATCGCGTCTGAAAATACTGGGTCGTCCCAGTTTATTCGAGCGAGCCGCTCGCTGCACGCCTTGCACTTGCACAGAGGAACATATGCATCACCGTCGTTACGCAACGCCGTTCGCGCTGCCGGCATCAAGTTCGTCGCGCATCGATCGCTCGGCGCTCGCGATCGCACGGCGAACTTGCCAGCTCTCTCTCTCTCTCTCTCTCATTCTCTCCTTCTCTACGCTCTCACCTGGATGAACACGGTGAAGTAGATGACGGCGATGGTGGTGGTGACGAACATCGGCTGCAACGGCACGTGTTTCGGATCTATGAGGAGCACCAGAGCGAACGCCACGGCGCCGCGCAGGCCACCGTAGGACATCACGAACTTCTCCACCTTGTCCAACTTGTGCAACCGGAACTGGTTCGCCAGCGCCGTGAGCACTATCACGCCTGCGACGCGAAGCGACACGGCTCGTGATTACGGAAGTACGGATGCGCGATATCGACGGTGAAATTAAATTAAACCACCGCTGCGTCGGCGCCGGCGACGTTATTTCTTTTTCTCCTCTTTTCCATTTCGGTTACCGTGAAAATTCGCTCGCGTCGGTCGTTTCGTCGTTCGTCTCGTCGTTTCGACGTTTCACCGCGGACCGTCGGGAGTCCGTGAAAATCCACGCGCGTCCCTTTCGGCGTTTCATTCGCGATCGCGAGCGATTAACGCGTTCGTTGCCTCGTTCAAATTGAAAGTCGCCCACCGAAGACCGCGCTGTGTTTTTAGAAGTCGGTTTTAGCTTAATAGAGCGCTCACTTATAGAAAAGCACATGGTTGCAACTACATAGGTGACAACTCTGCGAATTTAACACCGTAAAACCACGAGATCGTGATTAGAGCGGCGTGAAGCCGATGTGACACGACTATTTCAATTGTTACGTGTACCCAGATAGTACAACGTGCCCCAGAATCATTCAGAATGTGTCCAGGAATGTTGGAGGGGTATCTTAGGACGTTCTCAGCACGTCCAGGATGATCCCAGGACGTTCTGTGGCTGTCTGTGCGCTCAGAGAAAAAGAAATAGTCGATGTAACCATAAAAATGTGATCATTACTACGGTGTTTCAATTTCTATACCCGCGATAAAAACAGTCAAGGCGCTGTTTCGCTGCATTTTTACAGTCGAAGTGGTGACTTGTTTTCTCCGAGTGTGCGTTTGCGCTCATGAGCGCATAAAAGTTATCAAATTGAATTTTGCGACCGGACGTTTTACATAATGTATTAAATGTGTGTTACGCTGGTAATGAACATGCTAACGTTCGCCAATTACACGAGGTCGGCGAGAATCGAAGCCGTCGCGATCCAAGTGTATTCAACGTATCTATTTAACGAAGCGTCGACGCGACGCGACTCGCGACCCTATCTCGAACTTTCCGCGCGATCGAGTGGCAAATTGTCCGGTTAGGCCGAGAAGCCGTAAGCGAGCGCGTCGCTCACGCTAAGCCGTGACGTAAGGTGCTCGTGTAAGCAGAAGTCAATTGTCTCAAGTCCCATTATGATTTCATCGTTTAACCATATCGCCTTACACGCGCCTCGACTCGCGACGAAGTGACGCCCTTAACGCCCGGCTGGCCGGTCAAGGCCCGCGCGATCGTGTCGAATCCTTCTGGCACGAATCGCTATTTATACCACGCGACTTTTCCTCATTTCCTCATTTCCGTAAGTCAAAATTATCCCGCTAATATAGAGGCTGGCCTAGAGGACGCTTTTATCTCGCGGCCACTTCGAGGCGGATCTCTCCCGTTCGCTCGTTGCCAAGAGAGAAAAAAATCAGGAAGAAGGGAAATCTCGCGTACGGTTGTTAAATTTAACAAAATTCCGCGCGTCCCGAGGCGGTCCCACGCACATTTTTGTGTGTTAACTTACGCACGAGGTGGATACGTTGAAAACGCAACACGAGTGTGTCGAAAACTGACACAAAAGTAACATCCATAATATGCTAATTGACATCGAAATGGAAAACGTGTTATTGGAACGCTTACGTGTGTTGGATATCGAGACTCGACACAGAATATTGAGATAACACTGACACAATATGTCCGACTGACGCGAGTGAAAAATTTGACAGAAAAATTTTAACAACGATCGATTTCAGTACAAGTGAAAGATATTTTTTATACCGTGAGTGCATCGGATCGATTTAACTTAACCGATTAACTTAACAGAAATGACGACTAAAAATACGTATAGCAAAAATACTCTGTTATATTTCCAAAGTTTTTTGAGAGAAGTTACGATGTAAAATTCAAGAGTTTCTCGCGCAAATCCCTCGAAATAGTCGTCCGGAGGCAAAGAGTTGAAAATATTCGAGATCCACCTCTGATCCCAGCTAATCGGCGCGGCATAATCGCTGGATGGGGGGGGGGGATGAAATCTGGTTCCCACTTACCCACGGCTCGATAAACGGAGCAGAAGACTATCGTCATGACGACGAACCACGTATTCCAGTTATGCGCATTGTTCACCGTGGCGACGCCGAGGAACATGAATATGATGGTCTCCGAGCTGCTCGACAGCATCTTCATTGTATACTTGACGGTCGTGTGGGACTTGTGCGATATATTCGCCTCGACGTAATTCTTCATGGTGATGCCGCAGAAGGTTATTCTGGAATAAAAGGATCGCGGGCTCGCAAAACGGGTGGCGTCCGTTCGCTATTTCTACGGTCGTGGCACGAGCGCGCGCGCGCGCGCGCGCGAATCTTCGTCCGTAATCGCCGGCAATTATAGCACACGCAACTGCGGAATTAAAGTACTCCGCTTACTCAGAGCTCGTTCTATTCGGCGCAATTAATATCCCGTTTACAAGCCGCGACAAAACGTTCGCGTCTACGGTTTTTCCACGTGGAATCGAGTCGACGAGAGCGAGAAAACCGTCGATGCTGCCGCCGCAAGCACTGATCTTTCAACCTTATTATCGGTACGTGTGTGTGTGTGCGGGACACCCGGTATCTCTCGATTCATGAGGAAGACGAATCGCACGACAAGTGTCTCCCGATTTAGCGACTTATTAAAGCGCATCGCTCTCGCTCGGAGCTCGCTCTCTTCGACGTTGCTCCATTCGACGTTGTCCCGTTTTGACATCGCTCGCGTCCTCCTCGAGATTCCAGCGAGGAATCGAACGCGAGACCGACGGGAAGGACTCCAAAATCTTACCCTCGATCGCGTTATTAGTGGGTGCGCGTGCGTGATATCCGATGTTATCATCGTTGTTACAATCGTTCGCGTCAAAGACCGACGTGATCCCTCGATTCGCAGCGAAGACAAATTGCACGGCCCATCCCCCTCCCGGCATCTCGATTTAGCGATTACTTGCCGAGTGTATTTCGGGGCTGGAGATGCGAGCGAGATAGGCCGCCAGCGAGCCGACGATTTATTTTACTCACGCCAATATACCGGACATGTGGAAGATCTCGGCGTTCAGGTATGCCAAGTACGCCATCACGAATATGAAGATCGGCTCGATTACGCGCACCTGGTGGGTGAACCTGGTGACGAAGCCGGTCGCGAAGCCCCAAATTATACCTATGATCGTGCCACCGATCGCCACCACCAGGAACGAGGCTAGGCCCGATAACACGTCCGTATAGATGATCCTGGAAGCGCCCATCTCGCTGTACGTCTCGAACATGTGATAGAGCACCTGCGTATACCGTATTAGATGACCTTTTATTCTCGCCGAAGGCTGCATGTGACTCCCGGACGCTTTCCTCTCCCCGTCGCCTCTCGGCGACGACGACGAAAGCGCGATTCTAAATGGTGATTCCAGCGAATCGAGCTTTCTCGTCATTCTTAGCCGACCCAATTTCCGACGACAAGAGAGGACACGAGCGTCTTCCGGAAAGCCAATTAACCGGCTCGCGAACGCTACGAAATGAAACTATAAATACGGAATACAACGGAGATGTAACGACCTATTTGCGGGAATACTCGATGGCCCCCGAAAAAATTGGGGCGACAAATGTATCGGGGAGATTCCCGCGATGGAAGCGCGATTCGCGCGGTTCTTTTATTTCCGGTTCGCCCGAAAGGAAGTGTCCTCTTCCAAGGATCGTGACTAAGTTGTGCATATACAGAGAGAGAAAAGGAAAGAGAGAGAGAGAGAGAGAGAGAGAAAACGGTATTAATAACCGTCGAAGTGTCGACGCTTCGGCCGATGCATTAATAAAACCGTCGACGGCTCGTATTTACAAGGAACGGGGGTGTTTGCGTTACACCGCGCTGTTTTATTCAAGCGCGGTATTCCAGACATATGGCCCCACGATCCCGCGAATGTGAACGCCGCATTATTAATTCTCGACGGGCGAGGGGGAGGGTGAAAAAGTGTTCGGCACACTTGACTCGCACTTTTACGACGGAGGCCGAATGGCGGGAGGGATCGATGTCGCATCGATCGCGTCCGCCGTGTTGCAACAAAAGCCCGGCGCGTTCCTTCGCGCGCGAGCATCGTCGTACTTTCGCTCCTATTTATTTATTATGCATTCTGATGCGAGGCTTTAGCGGAATATTAATCAACGTCAGCCTCAGGGTCGATCACAGGCCGCGAGGGGCTGCGCGGGGTAAATTTAATCTATCGCTGCCTTCTTCTCTCGCAACATCGCCGATTATTCGCGACGTTTCGCGCTGATCATCAATCAAAATAGTAGCCCGGCAACTAAGTAGTCCCCTTTCACGCCGAACACATTCTTCCTGTTTTTATCTCTTCGCGTCCAATTTATTCGCCCGGGGTGCAGTTTACCTCCATAAAGACTCCTAGTATTCGCATCGGCCAGCCGCGCTCGTTTCTTTTCATTTCGCGTTGCGATCGCGTTCGTTATTTCTCTCTCTCTCTCTCTCTCTCTTTGCCAAACTTGTAAATATCAAAAATCGTTCTACAATATGGCCGTATCTTTCTAAGACTCTTTACTGTATGGACTCCGAGAACTATATAAATTTCATACTCATCTTTAAACGAGATTTATATTTGTAAAAGAAACTTTAAAATTTATATTTGTTATACAAATATTTGTAAAAGAAAAAGGAATTTTGTTTCCTCCAACCAAAACGCGTTTGACCGCCCATTGTCAGGTAGATCTAACCGAACTTATTTTTCAATGTATAGAAAACCTATACACGGAAGAAAAAAGATTAGCTGCAATAGCTTAATTAGTTGTATCATATGGACACCTGAAACTTTAGCAGCATAAGCAAATGTAATTGTTGCAGTAGCAAACGCACTATCGTAAATGTCATTTACGATAATACATTTGCGGCAGCAGCAAAAGAGTTTGTTACCGCAGCAAAAAGATGTGCTACTGCAGCAATTAAAGTTGCTTACACTGCTAAAGTTTTAGGTGTCCATATATTACAACTAATTTAACTACCGCGACTTTTCTCTTTCTTTTTTTCCGTGTAGAAGACCTAAATGAAAGTGTGTGTTCATTGGAGATCAGTAAACATTCATTGATATCGATGAAATATATTCTACTGATTTAATCAGAAACATTATCATTGATTCATTATCATTTCATTTCTCAAGAGAGAAATAACGTGCTTAAAATAAATTTCTTTCATTTTTCCCTTTCATTATTTGTAATTTTTATTTTATTCACTACTCTATTGTATACAACATAAATAAACAAATTCGCTTTGTATTTAAATTTCGCAAAATTGCATTAATTAAAGGCTTCGAACGTAAAACGTTCTTAACGAACTTTGTCCCAGAGTGACAATAAAAGCATTTATTTCTCTCTTTCTCTTTCTCCCTCTCAAAGCGAAACGGGGGCGTCTCGTTCAGCCTTCGCATTCAGTCCTCTCGTTTGTTACATTCGCTTCGCGAATGAAGCGACCGGAATCGATCGGCTTTAATCTTCGTTTATCTAAACATCGGTGGACCCGGACTCGGTTCGCGCGATAGCTGATAACACCGTGTCCGGTGTAATGTAAATGATGCGATACTCACGACAGTGACCGCGTCGTTCAGCAAACTCTCGCCGAACACGACGATGTAGAGTATCTCGTTGACGTGGATCTCCTCGAAGACGGCTAACACCGCGACCGGGTCGACGGCGCTGATCAGCGCCGAGAACAAGAACATGTCGAGGAGGGGCGTCTCGAAGCCGAACACGCCGCTTTTCCCCAGCAGCCACAGCGACATACCTGCGACAAAGAGAGCCGTCCGCGAGAGAGACAGCGGGACTTGTTTCAATTCGCTCGGGAGAAAAATCCACGATTCTTCCGCACCGTAATTTCGCGCCAATTATCGCCGTCCATCATAAATCCATCTTTAAGCTTGCGCCCGTAACGAATCGTCAATCCATCGGGATTATTATTATCCGATCAATCGATCGCGCGCGCTCGCCATGTCGTTGAACGCGCCGCCGGCGATAAGAGGGAAAACGGCGAGATTAACGGCCCCGAGGATAGAAATGTTGCATTATCGGCTACCGCGGTACCACCCACGCTTTCGTATATTCGTATATGCGTCGCGCTCTCGCCTTCTCCCTCGTGGGCGATTTGCGCGGCGAAGAGGCGGCGACGCGTTTAGTTTTGATTTCGATTCCAGCGCGCTGGAAATCGCCCGAGATCGCCCGATTCTCGTCGGCTCGAAAGCGCGAGGAGAAACGTCGACCGCAAACACCAAGTCCGCTCTCGGGTCTGACGATTGCACACACGGCTGTGTATTAATCGAGATCGCGCCGCGTGCGGATTATCGATCGACGTGTCGTCATGTGGCACCGTTAAACACTTTTTACCGTGTTTGCGCTACTTGGAAATTACGCGACGACGGTCGCCTAGAGTCGCTTCTGAGAAGGCGATAAGGCTGACGCCGCGACGTTCATTCGATTAATTCGGTTAATCGAACGCCGCGGAGTCGCATTACGATAATTATGGCTCTCATCGGCGCGATAAAGTAATTAAGGCGGCGATCTCGTGACTTGACAGTTAACCGTGATCATACTTCGCACCTTCGCCGGCTCTCGCGTCTTCCACGAGCGTCATCGTTATCGAGATCTGTTTGCTAATATCCGCGGCTTCTGACGCGAAAAAAAAATGATACAAGCCCCTGTCTGTTTGCTTGCGTATTAATTAAGATCGTGTCGAATTGTCGTCGCCTTATTCAAAGCTGTCGCGGTAATCAAAGGCTTAACGTCTGAGGAGGCGTTCTATAAAATGCCAGGGAATTACAGCAAAAACCACGTCGTAATTAATACACAATTTTATTTATAGAAAGGGGAGGGCAGAAAAGCACGTCCTTCTCATGTTCGTTTCACAACACGCAAATGGTATACTGTAACATTTTGCAGAGATCTATCGACCTTGGACCCGGTTAGTTTTTGCGACGGTTTATACGACGATAAAAGGTAACCGTCTAGAAATACGACTGACAACCTTTCCTATAGGAAACTTCGTTCGCAATGGGGAATCACGTCTGTCGTTTGTAGCCGATATCGTTATCGTTTCTGTCTTTTCCCTAACGAGAGGTTTCTTTAGTTATACGAGAATGTGACGATAACTGTTATCATCCTGAATATCTCCGAGGAATAAAGATATTTTGTTGACGACTGGATGAAAATGAGAAAAGTTTACATTTACAGAAGGTGCTCAACGTAATGACCTTTGGTATCAATGTAATTTTCGTTGAACGGACTTGGTTGAAAGTGAGCCGATTTTGATCCCCGGAGTGGCAAGTAAAAACAGTTTTTCAACCGCTGAATCTGACCTTTAAAACATTGTAATTCATCGGGAAAGTAATAGAATCAACACATGAAGCTATTAAACATCCAATACCGTAAATTATTATCGCTGACCTTTACGGACGTATTCATTCATTTCTGCTAGATGACACGATAATATTCTTATCTCTAATAATTCACGTCCTGACCAGTCATTTCGTCTGAAACCCGATTTATCATTTCCCATCCAACTTATAGCTTAACCTGACGATAATGTAAAGGATAATGTAAAGTTTGTAAAATGTAATGTAACGTAAGATTCTTCTATTCATGGTTAATCACGAAACTTTTAAACTTACGTACAAAACCATCGGTTTAATTATTAATCACGATAAGAAGAACAGAATTTTTGCATCGTCACCAGTTTAAGTCTTAGATCACACAGGTTGAGCAGAAAATGAAAAGCCGGGCCTGAGATTCGCGATCACCGCGGAATCAAGTCGCGCTTCATCGCACGGCGATGGCGATTGTCGTCAGGATGACAGTTGTGGCAGCGTTCCGCGGCGTCGACGCGAGCACGTGAGCAGACGCGTCGACGCGCGCGCTATTTTCGTACGCGCGTTCTCAGGCCGCGTCTGTGTTTTCGAGACGAACGTTTGCACTCGAGCTAGACTGCGAACAGACCGGACAGCGTCGAGAAACGAAAATTCGGAAGCGGAGAAGCGGTCATTCGCGAGGTGTTCGCGAGGTTTCCTCTCCTCCCGTACACGTCTTCGCAAACATCAAACGCAAAACGACTCGTTTACGAGAGCGCCGTCGCATCGTCCGCGATTTCCTTGTAAATTCTTCGTAGATTTCGCGCAGTCACGTGTAAATCGTCGAGCGATCATTTTCACGGTAACATCCGCGAAAAACTCCCGAGAAGCGTTGGATATCTCTTTCCCTGGCAGATCGTACGTTCGATTTGTGAGCCGATTTTTCCCATCGTGAAAGCTCGTTAGTTTGAAGTTTTAGAGCCCGTAAGTCCACGGGAAAGGAATAAGTGACTGCTTTACTCACAGCCGACGTCCCCGGCACGAAAACTCGATATTTCCACGAACTTTCACTTCTCGATAAGGCTGACATATGTTAACGGTGTAACGTTAAACTGCTCCGGACGTCTCGGGAAGAAACCGCTGGGACTTTGGGGATCTACCCTCTCCTATTTATCCCTCTCATACACTATTTATATGTAAAGAATAATTATTTCTAATTAAAGAGAATTACAGTGAAAATGGATTTAGTTGAATCTACCTGGCAATGAACAACTAAACGCGTTTCGGTTGAAGGAAACCAAATTTCTAATCCTCACGAATTGAGTTTGGTTCTTACAATCACAGAAATTCCGTTTCCTTCAACCAACACGCGTTTGGTAGATTTACCTGATAGTAGGAACTATCGGGTAGATCCAGGCTCATTTTTCAACGTGCTAATGACAAATAAAAGACCGATAATCAAATTGTGATTCGACATCTTTTCGGATCGCATCATGTCGCAGTAACGATACCGCGTCTAATTTCCTTCCTGACACATCCTCCCGATGCGAGAGGAAGGATGCGGAAAAGATCTCGAGGAGCGTGACTTCGCAGGCTACGCGGCACGTTGATGCGACGTTTTCCGCTCGAAATCACTCGATCGACTCACGCTCGCTCGTAGTTCCGACGAGAGGAGCTTCTTTCCTCCCGGGGATACTCTCTGCGGGGTACAGCCGATACGTTTTAGCGCGCGCGAAATCGACGAGGGCAGCGGGGCGGAAGACACGGCCGAGTTGGAAGGAGCGGCGCCGAGGGAAAAGAAATAATTCGAGCGAAATTCGCCCGGCGGCGGCGCGCGTCTCTCGGTCGCCTCCGTCGTCGCCTCGTTACCTACCTATCGACATCGTATTAAATATAGTCCCAAGGACGGCGAACAGGAGTATCGTCCCGAGATGGTCGAAGAACAGCCGATTGGGCATGAAGTAGCCAGCGTCCAGGATGATGGGCGGCAGCATGTAGAGGAAGAACGTGTCCGGCGTGAGCGGCGACACGTGGACGCTGCTCGCCTGGAACAGCAGGACTCCGACGACCACGCCGACGACGATCAGCAAGCAGGACTCCGGGAAGATCTTGTTGAGCTTCGGCGTCATGTGGAAGCCTGAATCAGTTGAAGCGTGATCGCGATCGATCGAGGCGATCGGTCAATTAATTTTCGAATCCGAATATTTTCGAACTTGAAGAGCGCGTTAATCGAAATGCGATCCACAAACGTGTAAAATTAGGAAATGATTGGTCGTGCCGAAGCTGAGATAATTGAAATCAAAGTTAGCACAAGTTTCATCACAGATACGAAAACTGCTTCGTCACGTTTTCATTCTAGCAGCCAGTACTATTCGGCATATTCGAAGCTTCGAACTCTATTCGGAGATTCGAAACGTCGATGCTGCTGATAGAACGAAGCAGCGTTGATCGAACTCTTTCGCGTTGTATTACTTTTTCAACAATCGTCACGGATCAACTACCTTAAAGCGTGATCGCGTTCCGATCCGCACGTCGATCTGGGCAGCTATCATGAAACTGTTCGGAAAGATTCCCGATCGGAATCGTTCAATTATACTCTAGAAAACACAATAAAAAACTAGGGAATAATTGAGAAATTTCGATCGGAAATCTCTACGAACACTTTCATAATGGGTGATCTGAAGGCGTTTTTGCCGATCTCGACGGGAATCTTTAGCGTTATGTTAGCGCCGTTGTTAATTTAACCGAAGGATCGATTTTTTCTCTTTAATGGGACTATCTCCGGTCGAAGCGAAGATCGAAAGAGCGATTTCTCTCTCTCTCTCTGTTGCTCGCAGAACTCCTAGAAAAGGAAAGGGAATCAAACATTGATCGGTCCTTACAAATAGTTAAGAAACTGTTCGAAAGAGAGACTCCGAGGCTAAAATTGGGGACCAACGGGGACCCTGACGGTTATACCGAGTGTGAAATAATTTCAACGCGCGGAAGGTAATCCCCAGGTTTGGCTAATCGCCGTCACCGGGAGCGCAGCTCGCCGAGATGAAGAAGCAGATGAAAAGCGGCTGGGACGGAGGGGGTTAATTAGAGGCGAGATGTGACTCTTGATTTTGTGTCGTGCAGTTTCGCGCTTTATTCGTCGAAATTATCACGCCGGTTCTCGGCAGTGCCGTGTCAGAGCGCAGCACACACAGGTATAACGTGTCTTTCACACCGGAGCCGCGAAAGACCCGCCGATGATGCTCCGGCGAATGTGCGCGACCTGTGCGAACGTTACATCGCACTGTGATATCACGTTGTTCGAAAACGTGCCAGATATTCTGTGTACGTTGTTCGCTGCACATCGGTGAGTGAGTCGTCGGACGGAGACGACGTATTCATTGTGCTCAAATTACGTATAATCGGGCAGAGGGTTTTCCCTCCTCACTGAGACACGCGTTGCGGTTTTCTCGTCGAAAGCAGAAGGGTCCGCTATAAGAGGGTGCTTGACTGTCGAAGTCACCCCTGAGTCATCCCTCAGTATTTTACAGAAAGTAAAGTCCAAGCTTCGATATCGGATAATCTTTCACTTTTTATTTACGCGGCTGGAATATAATTAGATAATTAATATAATTGCGCAACCCGACAGGATGGTGTGTAATAAGAGACGGAAAGATCGCAACACTTCGATGAGCTTCAGGGCGCTCCATCGAATAGGAAAATTCAACCTTCTGAGAATGATTGGTAAACACATTTTCCCGGTGGTTACGGATGCATCGTGAAGCTCATTAAAAGAAAGAACAGGTGTTGCGTGCGTGTCATATATGTTGTATTATCACTTAGATGGAAAATGACACGAATTCCAGTCTTATATATTTATATCTAAGTTCGAAACTGTGATAATTAGAGAACCGATATAACTCGGTCGTTATAATTCAAATTATTTGTATGATCTTCAACGTTATGTTAGGTATTAGGGGAAAAAATAATTTTGTTGTTGACAGCATGTCGCAACTGTGACGGCAATAAAATTTAGTTGGCATAACTCGAATCTATTGGTATGCATGTACTATCTTGAATGATTAATTCCTCTTGCGTTTTTATATTGAATTTCACCGCACGACTTATGGAAGAAACAACAGTACAAACCGAATATGTATTCTCTACAACAAGTGTACCGGCTACATTGACTTGTTTTGAAATTCTAAGAGCTCCTTCCGTCATGACTTACAGCGAACCTTCTTAGTTGATAATGTTTAAGAGTGCATAAATTTGTAACTCTTAATTGTAATTTGAAATTATGATTATTTTCATTTATGGCGATATATTTATGGCGGGTAGTATTTTATTTTCACTATATTTTACATCAAGTGTATCAAAGAACATTATTACCGTATAATAAAATAATAATAATAACAACGACGAAATTAGCGAAATATTCATAATTAGAGCAGAAACAATTTTGTTGACAAGATAGAAAATATTCTACTGAATGAATTTGGAATCCTTAATACATGTTAATTTGCTGTTACAACGAAATAGTGTTTTTTTTTTGCACTTACTAATCCGTTCTTACGGCGAAATAATTTGTAGATTCAGCAAAAATAATCCAGCGACCGGCTGAATTCGTATTCTTAACGAATCGTTTTGCTTTGTCCATGCAGTAACTGACAGATTTTGCTGCGACAGCATAAGACTTGCTGCGTTAGGAAATTACTTTTCTCCGTGCGTAAGGCTGAAAATCGTGTGTAATTTTCGCGTAATTTTAGATGAGGTCTACGTGCGTCACAGGATATTATTCCGCCGACGGTCTCCGGACGGGTGTGAGAAAGATCCCCTCGTCCGTCCGCGCGAGCCGCAAAATCGCGGGTCGCAAGACGCTCCCCTCCCCCTCCCCCGTGGCGCGAGCAATTCCTCCGAAAAACCGTATTCCGGCGACATGTCGCGGGGGATAAATACAGATCGAATTGCGGAAACGCGTCCCGCTGACATTTTCGGCGCGACAAAAGACCCTTTGTTCGTCCGAGACCTGCCGGGCGTAAGCTATTAAAAACGAAACGCGGCGGAAAGAGAATGTAATGAGCTTTTTGTATAATGACGGTGGCACAGCCTGTTCCCAATGACGTCTGTATCTTCGTTGCGTAAGCGAGCGGAAAAATATGGAATGCGCTAATAACGTGCCGGTCGAAAAGCGTCATTAGCGCGCGCAAATTGACACAGCCCGGTAGAGGCGGTTAATAAAAGCGTGGCAGATGTTTACATCGATCGCGACAATGGCTGGCAAAGTGGATTCACAATTGCGATAATTTTTAGATCCCGCATTGTCGGTCGTCAAGTTCGAAATTATCGGACGGTACGTTGTATTGTGCGGCCCGCCGTGTTTTCAATTACATCGCCATGCGCGCGCAATTGTCACCCGCGTTCGCAGAAGTTAATTGCAAGTGCGACTTGGAGGATCTAATTAGGCCGTCGAATTTATCGCTCGAAACGCACAATCGCACCGTCAACCTCCGTCGAGCGGTATTGAAAGTCATTATTGTCCCATTAAGGGGGATGCCATATCCGAAAACTTATTACCGACGGAATACTGATTCTTTTCTTCTGCAAAATTTACGTCTCATCGGTTGCACGGAATTATGTTGTGAATTAAACGCTTTCGCACAGTGAAAGTACGCGCGAAACTGAACTGGAGCCGGATTACTCGATACGTGACGAAAATGATGAAAAATTTCGAAATCGACATCTTTAGCTGTCGTCTAATGTAAATATTTGTCTGATACGGAAATCCTGCAGCTTGTACATACCGAATGTGCCAATGCTCCCAGTCGGGAGTACCTCAATATTTCTATAGCTTTTCAATTAGATTTAGTGGCTTAAGAAGGTACGAAAAGGTTTGCAGAAAAATCGTTATATATTTGGGTTGGATTTCCAGTTAGATGTGATAAAACAGAGCGCATATTCGTCGCGTTCACATTTACGTACGATGTGTACAAACGATGACACGATAGACGATAATCACTAAGCTGCTTTTTCCGCCGGACGCGAGCAATGTTTACGCGACGTAACGTTTGGAGGATCGCCTCTGCTTTGTCGACGCTTGTCAAGTTCGTCAACGGTTGTGGCATCCGATTAAAAATCAATTCGGCGATGGGGCGAGACGAGATTCACGAGGAAAAAGCGAGTCGGTCGCGTCCTTGCTCCTCAGCGTTTCCGGGCTTAAAAGTTCACGCGAGTCTTACAAGGGATAATTCCCGGGCACGGACTCGGGAATATTCATGCACCGTATAATCCATGCAAATGTCTCAGGGGAGAACGCATAAACGTGAGACGTTAGCTACCCGGACCGCTTCCTTCCGCTTAAACATCGCCGGGCTTCGCAACGACTTATTATCCAGCGGAAAATCTCGCGCGTTAATTCCCTCCCTAGCTCTTTCTCGTTCTGGAGGAGGACGAACGGAGAAAAAGAAGCAATTTCGCAGAGCCCACCCCGCCCCGACTTACCGATCTTCGCGATGCTGGCGAAGAAGATCCATATCCCGATGACGAAGGGCGTCTCGACGCGGGGGAACTCGACGGTGATGATGTGGTACTCCGGCTTCGGCGAGTTCTCGTCGTGCGCGGAGGATCCACCGGCGGTGACGGCGACGTCGTCGTCGGCGGAGCGCGCGGTGAGCTGGGAGTCCTTAGACCGGCCGGCGGTGTCGTCGCCGCTCGCCGAGGACAGGCTGCGCAGGGTGGCGTCGTCGGACAGGGCCGAGCGGACCGGACCCATCGGCCCGAAGCCCATGCCGGGGTAGGCGCTGTGCGGGTCGCTGGGGAAGTCGCCGACGTCGGCCTGGGGCCCGTGCGCGGCCTGCTCCTCCGCCGGCTGCATCCGCTCGGCGGAGCCGAGGAACGGCGCGAGGCCGGCGCGCGCCGGCTCGCAGGCGACGACGAGCAGCAGGAAGTGCACGGGGATGATCATCGTGGCGAGGCCGTGCGGCATCCGACGACTCGTCGACGACGACGACGACGGTAATGGAGGACGATCTTCCGTCGATCGCCGTCGTCCGCGCACGTCCGTCGCCGGCGACTCACTGCTCGCTGTACCATCAGAAGGGAACCCCCGACGACGACGAACGCGCTCGGCACGATGTTCCCGAATCGCGGCTGTACACTGCGAAGGGGGCCGACGGATTACCCTCCGGGTGCAGTCACATGTACGCACTCATACACACGATGCACGATGTGTACACGAGCCACCGTTGCGCCCTTCGACCCGCTCGCACCCCCGGCGTGATCGCTCTCCTGGCTGGCTCACGCTATTCGCCGACTCGATCGACGATTCCGGAGCGACGATTTCGACAGCCGCGTCAATGAACTCTCTCTTCCTTCTTCCTCTTCTAGCGGCGCACGACTTTCCTCGACGACGACGAGTAGTAGTCTTTATCGTCCCGCTCGAAAGCTGTCGCGGTTTATTTTTCCTCTCCCCCTCCCCCGTCCCCCCGGTGATGATCGCCGCGTCTGGCTGAGATTTTTTTCCAGGAATGCTCGATGAAGCCCACCCTCTTTCTCTCTCCCTCTTTCTCGTGCGTGGAGGCCAGTCGGTCCGGCGATTGAACGTGGAGCCGAGCGAGTCACAGCGCCGAAACGAATGCCGCGATCGACTATCGCGGCAGTAAATCGCTGAAACGTCGAGTCCAATAATTAAACGTGACTCATGGCAGCTTCGTCGTCGCCGGACAAGTCGACAGCTGCTCGTGGAGCCTCATCGCTCCCCCCGTCGCCGGAGAGAGACGTCAGCGACAGGGCCGACGAGCGCAACCCCCGAATGTCGCACACACCGGGTGCCGCGCGTAAGAAGACGAACTCGGGCTTTCGTTCGCAGAGACGACGCTGCTTGTCTTACGCACCGTTCGCGAATACCGAGACGCTCTCAAGTCTTCACGGTGTCGCCTGGCGATAAGCTCGAGGTCTGATCGACACGCGACCGCGGCGGCGGCGGCCCGAGGACGTCGGCGACGACGCGGTGGAGGGACGGGAAGGAGCGCGATGATAACGGGCGCGCCGCATTATAAAGTACAAGGAGAGGACTCATCGAAGTGGACGAGTGTCGCACCTTCGCCGGCGTGCCTCTATCGACCGACCGAACGAACCAACGACCGACACGGCAGCACTGCACGGCCGCGTACTGACGCGCGCTGCTCGTCGAAGGTGGCGACGACGGCGACGACGACGGCGATGACGCCGGGGAAGCGCTGCCAAAAACGTGCGTAGGCAATGCCCTCGACGGCGGGTGGATGATAACACTCTGTCTTTCTTTCTCTTCCGTCCGTTTCTCTCTCGCTCTCTCACCCTGACCCTATCCAGCGCTCTCTTCCTTTCACCCTCCTCTCGCTCCCACCAGGTACGCGCACAGAAGCTTCCAGCCAGCTGATCGTCGATGAAAGCCGCGCAAGCGTCGCGACGCCCCGATATAGCGCTGCCGGCAGCGGTGGAGGCGACGGTGGTCGCGCAGCTTTCCGTGCCTCGGCGCCGTGCTACGCCGCTGCTACCGCGCTCTCCTCCTCGGCGAGCTCCCTCTCGCCAGAAATATCCGCCTTGCGTCGGTTGACGCGCCGCTCGTCCGATTTACGGCACGGTGCTTCGAGAGTCTCGCCCTGGGAATCCGCGCGGAACGGGGTTCTCGCTGTGCCGCGGTGTACCCGGGGTCGTCGATGAAAATCAGTGGACCACCGATCGATCGGCTTCCGTCGTCCACGTAAACGTCCATGGCCGCGCGAAGCCCTGCCCGACGTCGACCTTAAGCCGGAGAGACGCGTCGCCGGCTCTCGTCGGAGACACATCGCTTCAACCTTGACCTTCAACCTCGCGACGGACGCGCGTCGTCGGTGGCGCGTGCGATTTCGCTTACCTCGCCGCGCGATTTACGTTTGTTTGACGAGCAAGCACGTGGAGACGCTCGTCAATCAAGGTGCATTACCGTGGCGACGCACCGACGCCGATGCAACGGAAAGACAGAGAGAAAGAGCGAGAGGGAGAAGGGCAGATCATGTTTCCTCCTATTTCTCTCTCTCTCTCCCTCCCTCGAGGCCGTAAACGCCGCGAGTCGGCGAGAATTAATCGCGGCGACAGTAGCGCGCGCCGGCAGCGCGGTAGGAAATGCGGTTAGATAAGGATTTATTGTGGCCGGCTTGCGTAATGAGAAACTTATCGGCGCGATACGTCCGCGGCGAGCGCGATTCGCAGACACGTCGTCCGCTGTTTGCAGAAGACGATAGAGAGGAGCGCCACTCGCGCCACCTTCGCCCACCCTTCCGTTTATCTTCCCACCTCGTGCATACGCCTCTTGGAGCGTGCGAACGTTTATCAAGATTTAACCGGCTTACCCGGGAACCCTCGACGCCGCTTCCCGCACGGTTGTACGCGCGGTTGGACATAAAAACCGCCGGCCCAAGCGCGTCCTCGCGTGTCGTCGAGCGCCGCTCGCTGCTGCGCGCAGTAAGAACTTTTGCGTTAAAAGAGGTCCACTGAAACTTGGTGTTAACACAAGCGGAATGTGTTGAGAGGTACACAAATATAATGCTGAGTTAACACATTTATCCTGTCAACATGTCGCTGTGTTAATTTAATGTTACACTTGTGTACGTTTTAAGGGAATGCTACAGCAGTTGACGAACTTCATAAGTGTCGATAACGCAGAGGTGATCCTAGAAATGTTGTGTCACATTAATATTGACAGAATCACGTTACTCTGTTTGTATTCCTCTTACACATGTAGGTCTTGCGTAAATGTTGGCGCGACATAAATGTGAATAGGATGAATGTGCTCCGTTTTCCCGTATCTAACGAAGAATCTAATTAAGATATATACCATTTTTTCTGCGAACTTTACGTATCTTTTTAGTAAGATGCAGAGGTGTTCTTCGAAATTTTCCTTATTGGTACAAACACACGCTCGATATGTGCAAGTTGCAAAATTCTTGTTTTAGGTAAAACTCTACTTGACTGTTTACTGTATTTGAGATCGAGATTTCAGTGTTGAATTTTTTCGTTATCGTCATATCCTAGACAATGCTCCGATTCATTTTCGCACGTACCTCCGCTACGTAGATGCGCTTGTGATACTGTGCAACCAATAAGACGTAAACTTTGTAAAAAAAAATCAATATTCTGCCGGTAAAGTCTTCAAATATAGCATCCCCTTAACACGTATTAAAGTAACATAAAATTCCAATGGACCGTTTTTAACGCAAAATTTTCTACTGTACGCGCAAGTTACAGATATTACGAATTGATTTTTAAACAACGGATAATAATGACGTCCGAAATTAACCGTGTACTCAGTCACTGAAAGACTCGGATATCCCGGTTGGTCGAAATTGACAGCACTATATTCGCTGTGCGCGTTCGCCTCTACCTCCCCGCTCTCCGCGCGGCAGGCTTATCACCTCGTTACGTTTGGAAAGCGCGAGGTTAATTAATTTGCACGGTTAATTAGCCGGGTTCACGTTAAGGCGATTTACGGATTCGACATCGCTCTCGGCGCCGTCTGTCTCACCGAGGAGGCGCCGTGCGATGTCTGTTTTCCTTTTTCTCTCTCTCTCTCTCTCTCTCTCTCTCTCGCTGGTTCAATAAAAGGAGTCAGTCGGCTGGAAATCACGATCTATTTGCTGGCGCTATGTTTGTATACCGCCTCGGTGCGAGAAATCGCCTTGTTTGTGTATCGATAAGGAACGATTAGCGGGGAGAACGATAAGGAAAACGATCCGGCGCTCGTCCTTGCGTCGAGCTTTCGTGCCGGTCGGACGTGATGAATTAGTGCGCGACTGTTTGATTTAGGGCCTCATTATCGCGCGTTATCCGCTGAAAAATCGCGCGGCGAGACGATAAAAGTAGACGCGAAAACCACACGAGAGAAATCGTCCCTACCTCGCGCGCACCAGCTTGTTCCGTCTTCCGTTCTCGTGATCGCATACCGTCACCACTGCTATTACTGCGCGGCTCGCCTTCATTCTCGTTCCCATTAACGACGACGGGGTTAAGAAGAGACCGGCTCGATTCTTCTCAGACGAATATTTCACGGGGGACCATTGTCTCTCCGGCGGCGATAACTCTGTCGCTTAACGTCAGCTACCTGTATAATTAATCGGTGCGAATTTAACCTCAATATCCATACCGCACCGAGAACGGGGATGTCGTGAGAGAGATAGAGAGAGAGAGAGAAGGATACAGGGAAAGACAAAAGCTTGTATTAATTATTCTAGGACAAGCCCTCTAAGAACGCTACAGGATCAGTTTGTTAATTAATAAAATTGAAAGAAAATTTATTATTAACAGTGCTAATAATTAAAAGAAAGAGGAAATATATAGACTGTAATAACGGATAATTCTAATAGTGCTATAATAATAAGAAAATAAGCGAGAGATACATTTTATTGACGGAAAGATGATTTTTATGAATATACATGTACGAATAACCCTTGTAAAAAATTGAAGAGCCTGGATTTAAATTGCCAGATATAGTCGGATTTTCTGATCTCAGGAGGAAGTGAGCTTCAAAAGGCGATAGCTGAAGTCTGGAGCGTGTTCTGAAAAATGGAGATGCGAAATGCAGGAAGTAGAAAACAACGGAGAGAAAGAGAGAGGGTGAGAGAGAGAGAGAAAGAGAGAGAGAACTCGCGCTCCGTCTTTCATCCGTCGCAGGTTTCACATTTTCACGCTCATCTCGCGACTCTGTGTGTGTATGTGTGCTGATTCGCCGGGGAATCCTTGCTCGCTCGAACAAGTCATTCCTGCAAGCTGCTCCGCGGAATCCTATTTCTAACGGTCACCACAGCGACAGCGTTGACGGCACACCCCTTGTATTTATTTACCCTCCGCCCGTATTTATCTCGCTCTCTCTATCCGGCGACGCGTCTCATCTCTCAGTATCGTTCTCGCTCGCTCGCGTATCGCTTACCGCGTATCGATTTCCCGTTGTGCCACGTGCAACCTTGGAGTGTCGCGCCCGCGTTTTTCGGCTCTGTATCGCCGTGCAGTAGTCGAATTATTTTCGCATTTTGTGCATCGAGCGCGCCGGCGTGTTCCCCGAGCGAAGGACAGCCGCCGGCCGCGAGGGTGCGTACTCCGGAATCCGGATTAACGCGCGGATTAATACGGCGGGCGTAACATGTAATCGAAACGCTCGTCGCGCTCCCGGCCAGCCGTCGAACCCGGAGTAATTTCGCCGTCATTAATATTCGTGGCGACCGACGCGCCGACGAATGGCGTCCCTAACGAAGGAGCAGACACAACATCGATCGGAGCAGTCATCGCCGGTGTGTCGGGGCCAGACACGGCCCGGACCCCGAATTCACCGCCGCCGGCTGCGTGACGATTGTACGCGGTATTACCGCGGCTTATCCTGAAATTAACCTGCCGGGTATCGTTTCCCATGTATATATATATATATATATATATATATATATATATATATACAAGACTACGGCTGCGATACGGACGCAAGAAGGGCCGGGCAAGGGTTGGCGGGAAACAACCCTGCCGGGAACGGCCGCTTGTTGCGGAGCACGGAGCACGCAATCGTAACGTACGACACTTCTCCGTGCTCCATAATTTAAAGGGCATTCCGGACTCGCGTCGAGACCGGCCATAGTCAGGAATTATGACCGCCATGGACTTTTAATCAGATCGGGCTCGGCGCATGTTAACAATCCCCTCACCGCCGAGAGACGCTCGCATGTGCGGTCTCGGTTGCCGCGATTGAAACAACAATTGCAGACGGCGTTGAAATATTGCGCGAATCAAGAATCGCAACGACGTAATAACGTACTGCCTTGTATCCCGGTATGCGCAAGATATTTCGATAGCGCTCCGAAATCCAAGAAAGAATCCCGATGCTCGTACATGTGTGTCTCTTACTTTTTCGAAGTTGTGATATCGTACCAGTGATATTGTACCACGCCGACGGTTTGCTTTTCACCTCTCTTTGTCTTCAACCGTCTCTCTCTTTTCTCTCTCTCTCTCTCTCTCTCTCTCTCTCTCTCTCTCTCTCTCTCTTTCTCTAAATTATAGAATGAACTCTTTGGGATATTTAAAACACGAATCATAAAAGAATTTAAGACAGCTTTTTACAATTTTTTTATTACAATGAGGTGCACACAACTGCCTTGTTTGTAACCTCTTGAAATTGTGACCTTTTCCTCTTCAATATTACATCATCAATGTTTTTTACGCACCCCGCTTACCGTCTTTAACTGATTAACTGATTATCGACACACGGAAAAAAAATTAGTCTTAAATCAAGAATAGATATTCTCATATAAGCAAGAATATTATAATCTCTTCGAAAGATTTTTAGTCTTGAATTGAGTTCAGTAATGCACCAACATAATTCAATCAAATCAAAACTAAAAGTCTCCCAAA